TTTCATCATTGAGTCAAATGCTGACTGACGTTTTTTTCATACATACGAGTATATATATAGTGTTAGTTCATTATTCATACACCGAATTGACGACGGATTTTCCCGATAAGGACAAGGAGTACATGGCGAGTGTGACCGGTCGGCAGGGGATGCTCACTCCTCCATGGCACCTGATCTCACCTCTGATGTTTTGGGGGTTATGTTTGCTCTGCTCCTATTTTGTATTGTTTTATGGAATTTTGATCTTAAATACTGTTCGTTTTTTCCATATGTTTCACCCCCCGTGAACTATTTTTCGCATATATATTATGATTCTCCTTAAACCACTCATTCACATCTTTTTTTCAACCACGAAAATTTGACCATTTGTAAATGTATGATTTCTTGACCATTTGTAAATAAGTTATTTTACAGATGTTTATATTTTTTCTACTTGCTTTATTGTTTTTGATTTAAAGTCTTTTTCTGCTGAAATACCTTCAAGTAGTAGTCTTAAGAAATATAGAAAGTTTTTTGGTAATAACTTTATATAAAGTAGTAAAAAATAGTTATAATAATAAGCAATTTTATTTTGATGGCATACAAAAAACTCATATTTTTTTTCTAGGCTGGATATTTGGTCTTCTCTGGTTTTATATGGTCAATATTCTAAATACTCAAGATTCTGACGTAAAATTTTTACGAAATGTTGTCACATAAATGAACAGAAATATGACTGGAACAAATATTCACAAGAAATTGTACTTCATATTGAGTGTAGCAGTTGCCGTCCTAGAGTGCGGTGACATTCCTTTTTGGTTGCGTTTATCGTTGTTTGCACTGCATGTTTTACTGTTTGGGTCAATGATAACTAAATAATCCATGGCTGATAGCGTCCCCAAGGGAACCCAAATCAGCAGCTATGTATCGGAGTTTCAATTCATATTCTGGACAATAGTTTAGAAAATGAATTTATGAGATCCATCGTAATAATGCATACAAAATGTCATCTGAAAATTGACATATTGCAAATATGAGATAACAATGTTAGACGGTCGATTTATGGGATGCATTCCCATACTGCAATGCTCACAGGGAGTAGTTATTAACTCATTAGTGACATGGAAAATTCGATTTGTTATTACAAATGGCTATTAATAACATTTATAAAGGATGTATAAAAGATTCAAATATATACATGGAGAAAATCAAAAAGCTTTTTCCAAGCTTCAAACATAATGAAACAAAATGTATCTGCATGTCCGTCTATTCAATATGTCAAGCTGCATAGGTAGTGTATGTCTCTCTCTTCATTTTTAATGTTTTTGTATGATTTGAAACAAAATTATTTTGTTCGATCTAAATCAATTTTGGTGCAAATATTAAATAATTCAAGATACATGATTTTTTTTCTTTTTTTTAGTTTTCATATCTGAAAATAAAGTTTCTGCTGTAACTGATTTAAAGTTTTATGTTTTAATTCAGAAAATAATTTAGTTTGATTAAAATCTGTCCAGCGTTTTAACTAAAAAATATATAATTTTATTGAATAGAAAAATCCCAGGGGTTTTTAAGTAAAGTGTTTTGAGAGAGAGAGAGAGAGAGAGAGAGAGAGAGAGAGAGAGAGAGAGAGAGAGAGAGAGAGAGGCTAATCGACGAAATGGTGAAAACATTACATGTATATGATTTTCCGGAAATTGCATGCTATGGGACACTTCTTTTTAATTCGTGCATTATCGGTTTATTTGAGACCGACCGGGCATGAAATGAAAACGGCCAAATTATTATGATGGGAGAGCATGGAGTTCCATATTACACTGACAATCATACATTTTTCCCTAGATGAAATAGAAAATAAAATTCGTTTAAAAAGCCACCAACATAGTGCATTAACAGAAATACACACAAAAAGCACATATCTGCAGCTAATGTCTGGAGATTTTATGAAAAAAGCATGGTTGTTCATTTTCTTGATGTCAAAAACGTTTATGTAATCTGAAATATTTCGAATTATTAAATGTTAAAAGCTACAATTCATGAATTTCAGGCCAAAAGCAAAGTTTTTTTTAAAAACTGGGATGAGGTTGTGGTGTGGGGACGACCTTCCTCAAAAATCGACGAATTTAAAAGGTCAATATGTATAGTGGAGGTAACGAACAATATTTTTTAAAAAGTCCATAAAACAACACAAAATAGGAGCAGAGCAAACATGGGCCTCCAAAACATCAGAGGTGGGATCAGGTGAATCGTCTAAATATTTAAACAAACATTTTTTCATAAAGATTCCAAATTACATGCATGTGTGTTTTTAAAATCTTAACCAAGCCCAGCCCACAACCTAACAAATAAATTGAACAATAAAAAAAATCACACGTTTTTTTTTTCGGAACATAAGATTTCGTCGTTATGAGGGAATATCCTCTATTTACTGAACATATGAACCATTGATATGATATTCCTATCGCTGGGATTTTGGCCTTGGTCATATCGATCGTAAAGAGAAAAAAAACACGACTAAATCGATTAAAAGAGCAATTTTTGACATATAACATATTCACCTTCCCTAAGGAATAAATATAATATCTATCCCGATATTGATAATCTGGTAGCATTAATCATCAAAAGACGTACGCACGACCACAAAAAAGTTCCCAGTCCTGGAAACGGTACATACATTTGTATGTTTCCTCTGTAGCAAGTTATCGGCATCCTTGTATGATTTCTTGACCATTAATTATCTTTGATCCAGTGAGCCGTATAAAATTCCTTATTTTTATGCTCAACGAAATATGAAAATGTCATAGGATTTTACGGGGAATCTCACCCTAACCTGATTGTTGTTATGATGTTTAACTTTTACCCCAGTGCCACCTTGTCTCTAACATAGAAAAGGACAAGGCTGTAAAATTCAAAAAGCCTATTTCTTAAGTAAAAGTTTACGAACAGTTCTAATCCTTAAATTAAACCCTTTTCGCAAGTCATAATTTATACAAGACTTGAATCCATATTTTTGAATGGAATTTTCATTCTCTATAGAAAAAATTGACTTCACACATTTTTTGCTATTTCTTAACTGCAAGAGGTTTTCGCTTTTTATCTAATAAAGGTTCTGACTTAACAAACAAGAACTCCGAAGTTGAATTTTGATATTAAAACGTATTATTTTCTGATTGACAATATCAATGTTTTCTGGAGATCAATCTTCAAATTATCTCTCGAAATTCCTAAGGGTAAAATTAAGCCCAGTAAGTAGAAACCCCATTTTATATTCATATGAAGCAAAAATATTTTGCAAATTGAAAACTTTAATATGAAAAGAAGTTTCTTTTGGTAGCTTTTAATTCAAAATTCAGATAATATTTCATCGACATTTTTTTCAATGAACAATATTCAATTTCATTCCTATACGTTATACTATATACCGCTTTGGACTCGAAATCAAAGATACAGAGTCTGACACTTCATATTCATATTTACATGTAGATATTTTACTAGAAAAAGACGTTAATGGCAATCTAAAAAAAACATTACAACAAACGTGAATAATTCAACTTTACTATCGATATCTTCCCTTATTTATGTAGTATAACATTTATATCATTATCACATGCACATAGAGTCTATGTCTCCTATTAGAGCTTGTTCCAGATAACAATTTGACAAACAAGCTGATGATACAAAGATATCAAAAGTCTCGTTTAGAGTAAATATTTGGAAAAGTCTACGGTTGGTACATTGTTAGCAAATACAATCATTAAGTCGATTGTTGATTGAGGTTTTTTAAGCAAATTGTTAGGACATTTTTTCACACAATGAATTTTCTAGAGATTTTCCGTTTGCCTTGTGATGACACGGAGCACACGTGGATATAACGGACGACATGTGATGCTTACGCCTTCATGAAACTTGCTTCCAAACCTGGACCTTTGAATGTTTTTAAAGGTCCATGTTTGCTATGCTACCAGTTCTTATTGATTTAATGGAGTTTTAAGCTTAATTACTGTGCGATATATCCATATTTCATAAAAAATGTTAATATTCTTTCACTAATGCTGCTTTGCGGCACGTTTGTTTTAAATCAACCTATTAACTTGAGAGAAGTGACCGAAAAAAAAAAATTAACAGAGGAAAGACAGACAGACGATAGATAAATCCTCATGTAAGCTAAGAAACTTGATGACATGCAGATTAAAAAATAAAGATGATGCGTTATATGCCATTAGAATTGATCCCACCTCCTGTGTCCTAAGTAACTTCGATCAACCGTAGGGCTGTCTTCCTGTGTGGGCCTCGATCGTTTATCCACAAATGCATGTTGGTAAAATAGAAAAATAAAAGAATGTTACCCGTAGCCCATACAAACAGGTCGATTTATGGAAGGAAATTCCTGAAAAAGAAAGGAAAGTATTTTTATGTTTTGAGGAGATGCTACAAGCAAGACTTCTTACATATCTAAAACAAATAACTTTTAACCTTTTCTTTCGACAATCAGATACTGTAATTTATATTTGATATTTTTTCTTGAGCTTTGCGCTCGTGGTAATATTTAAAAAAAATACATCTTAACTCTTGAAAAAAACCCATCCCATATCAAACTACAAATATCAAAATAATAGGATTCTTCTATCTGTGTAAAATTAAATAATTTGTATAACACTGAAGGATATTTACAGCAGTGTTTTTGTTAGGCTTCTCTCGTCATGCAGTTTACTAGTATCCAAAAACAAGAATGATTTGCACCAAATCAATGTACAAGTATTTACATGTAAAGACCAATTCGTGCCTTTAATAAGCTAAGCTATTGCCCAGAATAGAATTTCTATACATCTCTTTAAAAAAGTTGTAAATTACTGAATTCATTGTCAAATATTTAACGTAATTCAAGGTAACAAATGGCACATTTGATAATGTACTGATCAATGAAATATGGTACTCTGGTATCTTATTACTTAAAACATGCATTTACAAAAATGGAATCGTTTTCAGGGTTTGAAAAACGACAAGATGAGTGAGCTGTTGACATGAACTCCCCCGTTTTACTGGTATGGACCTTCCTGTCGATTCTGGTCTCCGCCCTCGGAACCTATTCCTTCATACAACCCGTCTGGATTATCACTCCAAAGCAAAGCGGAACTTTTGGACTCATCAGCACATGCGTCAGAATTCTGGATTTAACCAATCAGGACTTTGGCAAACAGAAGTGTGAGTTTTACGGCGGGTATTTCAATCTGGGCAACCTTCCATCCGGGGCCTGGCAGGCGTCCTGTACCCTGTTTGGGGGCGGTTGTATCCTCTTGTGTTGTGGGGCATTCCTGGCCGTGTGTACGTCATGCATTCCACACGAGGCTGTCAAGTCGGTTACGGTCATGGCAGGTTATGTCCAGTTTATAGCAGGTAAGGTATTTCCTAATGCAGATCCAAAGTTATCAGAATCTGATACAAAATGAATGAATCTTCAAATGTGTTTCAAATACAAAGTTACACAAATATGTTTACTTAACCTTGTATTGGAATGATTACAATTTGCACTTTATGGTTTATGAATGACACAAATACTTAATACACTTACTATTTTATAGTATGTAAATCTGAAATTAGCTGAAATTAAAAAATTGCATTGCCAAAAAAAAATTAGAGCCCAGGGAAGAAGGAAAAATGACTTTTTGAACCCCAATCGCTCTTATAGGATGAGCATCTAAATTCCAAAACTTAATTAGACATCTACAGGTCAATCCCAAAACATTCCAAAACATTTCAAACACAGTAACTATATATGAATTGGTTACTGTGTAAAATGTAAAAGTTCGGTAAACCAGATTTCAAAGAAAACACTGTTTTCTACCCTCAGGTTGAGAACAGAAATCTCAAAACCTCTTCCGCACATGTCCAAGGCACCATCAATCATATAATAAAATATGATTCGATTGCTTCTTAAGATATTGGAGTAGTTTGAGGATTAAATGTATTAGACCATGTTAAATTCGCGTTTAAAAAAATTGAATGACAATATGAAAACCATAGATCCTTCTATATTTAATAATCCAGAAGTAAAAAAAAAAGAAAACGATAGATTACATGATCAATACGTACTGGTCCCTGCTGACAAAGCAGGTAACAACATTGTATCGTTTGTAAGGCTCATCATATAAATTTATTTTAGAAGAACTTGGATTTAATTTTACAAGTGGTAATCCAACTCATAGTCCCCTTTCTACGGAAGAAATTCTTCAAAATCATAAGTCAATTTTAAATACTTTTAATACGCGTATCACAAAGACCCAAAATGAATTTGAACTACTATATCTAATTATCTATATTTGATTTAGAAACTTCATAAAAATCCTCACAAACAAGGATACATAGCGGTTTCCAATAAATGTTCAACCAAGCCTCTTCCTTTACTCCTCACTAAGATATTAGCAGTTGTGAAGGAGAAACTTCAAGAGTACTGTGCAACAATATATTCGAGAAGTGGTGTAAATCATATATGGATAATTGAAAATTCTAAGAAACATTTTAACAATATGAAATTTAAAAAATTTACCAAAATCAGCAGCTTAAAAAAGTACGACTTTTCAATTTGATATGCAACCATTCCCCATGGTTATTAAAATCCAGGCTTTTTGATACCATTGACAGCTGCTTTTTTTAAAGAAAAGAAATGGAACTCGTAAAGAATGAATCGTTTAAGCGTCCACATTTGGCCCCCCGATAATTTACAAAAAATAAGTTTAAAGATTTCCTACATATTTTTTTCTTAATCTTTTCATCAAACATTGTAATTTTCAATTTCATTTTCAATTTTCACATACTTGCACTGTAATTGGGTATTTATCTGATTAATATAGCAGGGGTACGTTGTTTACATCGATTTCCCATAGACTTTAGGCCACACCCCCATTTTGAAAGCCCAATTTTTATATGAGCGCATTGATGTTTCAAGTTGTAGTAAATAGGGTCAATGTAAAGAGTTAAACTTGTCATTTTAATTCATGAAAGAAATTGAAACAGTCGTGCGCTCACATGTTATTTTCCAAAAAAAAGTGCAAAATCACGGGTACCTGCCTCTATAGTAAAGGCACCTTGTTTACAAATTTCAACCCGCCGTTGACCTCATGCATAACAAAGCATTGAACACGTGACTCAAATCTGTTCACCTTCATGCTTTGAGCAGATCAATGCGACATCGTGTCCAGTGTTGCGAGCTATCGATGGTCAATTCCTTTTCAAATTGGTAATTAGAATTTAAAGTACCATGGGATAAAATTTAGAATTTAAAGTACCATATGATAAAATTTCTTTAAAACGGTATATTTAAGACTTGTTCACATTTTTGATTTACTTGTTATTTCAGTCAATTTTGTTTGATTTTTTTTCCGGTATTTATCAATATATTTTGAAGGCTTGTAGCATAAGGCTAATATAGTATTTGAAAAAAAAATACTGCCAGAGGGTATATATATTATCAATTTGCATACATGTACATCACATCAGCGTTACGTTCATTGACTCTTGGAAGATAAAAAAAATTACGATCAGTATTTGAAAAAATACCAATTTATCATATCTTTAGAAAATAAACCGTTTGTTACAAATGCTTAATTCCAATTAAAGAATCCTTACGGAAAAGAAATTGATGTGTGAGGCATTTAAAAAAAGATTTATAAATCGTATGAAAAACATTACACAAAATGCACCCCTACATGTAATTAATTATAAATTAATAGAGAGAAACTCCGGGTTTCATCTGACGACACTACAAATGTTATAACTTTTTAATTACATCGGCACAAAATCTAACAACAATGAAAGATTTAAATATAGATATATATTAGTATGTAACAATAAATCGAATGATAAAGGGCAAATTTTTTTAAAATGGTTCATTGTTTATCTCACTAGAGGACGAGAATTTATTCAACAATGCAATCTGGAATGTACAAAGTACACTTGTCTAACACTGAAGGTTTTTTTTTATATCCAGCAACGATAATATTGACGTTAAACTGACGTTTAATTTTCACTTTCTTGCGAATTTATTTTTCATACACAGAGTGAAGTTTTATATCACAATTCAACCGCATTTGTTGTAGCACACCAACTTCGCAAAATTATATGTATGTACATGATATGAAATAATTATTCACGTGATTGTAAAAAGCAAATTAATTATAAGCTTTCATGTATTGATTTTTATCTCTATCAAAATAAAGTTTTAAGTATGAAAAAGAGTGAATCCTGCATTATACGTTCTATTCACAATTCCATTGTGTATATTTATATATAAATAATTTGACGAATTTCTAATATAACTCGTAATTTAAGCAGAAAAAAATTAAACCTGACAAATTAAAAAAAGGATGCTTATATGAGTTCAGTCTCTTGCACTAAAAAAGGGCTTTTAGGTGTCACTTAATCATAAAATGTAGTACACTTCGAACACACGCTAATATATTCATACTAATCGCACGCTTGATGGACGCCTCGCCTTCCCATTCAAATGCTAATACTACAATGGCCTATATATAGCAAATGGCGAAGTTTTACTGTGAAATATGCGACATTATTTAATTGATATCATGTATATATTAAAAGTCTCTTCCCTAAGAAATTCTTTATTAGTATCTATACAGACTATACTGGAAGACTTTAGCTATAAGATAACACTGTTCTTATTTAAAAGGGTAAAATTCTGCATTTAAAAAGGGGCGAGATTGCAGTGTTAAGAGGATTCATTCTTTATAATCTTGTCATTGGTCATTTGCAAAATTTTTTTGTTAAAGAACATCTGACTCTAAACACAAGTACTCTGAAGATGGCATTAAAAAGATGCTTTAGTTTTTGATTGACAATGTATATGTGATTTTTGAAGACCTGACCTCAAGACCATAAACTGAGAACAAACTTAAGTTAAAGGTTTTATTCTTAATATCTTGAGTTTTATTTAATGTATTTGCTGTAAAATTTGTAATGTTGTGTAATGTTTCAATTCAAATATATGATGAAAATTTATTTCCAATATCAAACTTCTTTCAAAAGTTATAACAGTTTAAACTTTTGACTTAAGTCTGGTCTCAGTTTATGGTCTTGGGACCAGGTCTTCCAGCACTCTATTGGAGGTTCCATGGGTACCAATAGTGCCCCGAGTTTAGCAGACCCATTTTTGTATTCTAAATATTTTAAATATTTTGATATTTATGAAGCAGAATTTGTGCAAAATCGTATATATGAAAAGAAGAAAACACTTCGCTGTGGCCTTCAACTCAACATTGAGATACTAGTATATCGATGTATTGTCAATAAAGATGGCAATTTCCAATCTTATGTCGACACGATATATCTTATATAACGATATATACGAGCTTGAGATAAAATATACCACAGAGTCGGAGACATATGTTTCATATTTGGATATTTTACTTGAAAAAGTAAACAAGCTTATCAGCAGGCTCGTTTAAAGTCATCATTTCATAAGTTCTAAGTTCGATACAATGATCTTGTCAGCACATTCAATTTATCATTGAGTCAAATACTGTCTGACGTTTTTCATACTAATTGTTAGTCCATTATTTATACACTGAATTGACGACGGATTTTTCTGTTATTTCCCAATCATGACAAGGAGCACACGGCGGGTGTGATCGGTCAGCATGGGATGCTCCCTCCTCCATGGCACCTGACCCTACCTCTGATGTTTCGAGATCCGTGTTTGCTCTCCTCCTATTTTGTATTGTTTTTATGACTTTTGATCTCGAATACTGTTCGTTATATCCATTTGTTTCGTTCCCGATCTCAGTAGTGACAATTTTTAACATATTTTGCAACGTTAATCTGTGGGATCCAAATTATTTCTGCTCTTTTTATTGGGATATGCTACTATACCGATACTTTTTCTGAATATCTAAAAGAATGATGTCTTTTGCTTTATTAAGATTTAATTTTCTCTTTTGTTTTATTGATAGGTTAATTGGAGTTTTTCCTACATCATATGGCGTTTACATAAAATAGGATGTCTTTTTTTATCTCCACCATTTTAATTATGACTGCATAGAGTTAACAAATAAACAGAAAATAAATATACATAACCTTTTAGAGGTATCAACGATATATATATGATTTAAATGATATAAGAAAATTATGGAAATTTTCAGACTTGACTAAAATTTCTATGAATACAAAAAGTAACAATAAAATAATTATTGGTAAATATACAATTACGGCTACACCTGCTTTATAAAAAGAACTTTGATTACCATCCGACATTTTCCCGTTTAAGTTTTTCTTCTGCTATTGCTTCAAAGTCGAAGACTAAATATGGAAATATTGAATTCCAATTAGTCTGTCAAATTAATGCAAACTCTACTTGTGTTGTTGTTCTGAATTAAATCCTATTC